TTAGCCTTGTCCAAACATACATTAATTTACATAAAAAATATATATCATAAATTTCTAATCACTTAGTTAAACTGATTTTTTTTTTTTCATGAAAAGTTATCTGTTTCAAGAAATAATAATGATTTTTCTTACACTTAATAAAATATGAAAAAATAAATTTTTTTTTCATTAAATAAACTATACTTGAATCTTTTATTCTGTATTTTTTTTACAGTTTGTATATCACCACTTTTAGGAGTTAGCAAGGACAGATAGCTAACGAGATCGTACGAATAGACGTAGTAGCATATCAAACCGGCTCATACTCAGTTTTCTCGTGATTCATCACATTTTATACGGTTAAAATTAAACGAGAAATACACACATTAAAATTTAAATATATATGTAATACGTATACACCAATTCAAGTTATAAAAACTATATTATATTGTATAAATGCACAACAGCAAGAGGTAAGGCGATATCAATTTTTACACGTTTTTACTACGTCTTTCTTGTCCGATGATGAATACCATTATAATATACGTGCGTATTTATAATATTATGCCTTAGCTGTAAATTTTTATAATTTAACACTTAAATTAACAGGCTCAATTAATTTCATCAATTTGTATTTATGTCCTCCACCTCAAAGACGCCTTAAACGCGGTTCACATGATACGAGTATTATAAGTCAATTATCATATTTTAAGTTAAACTTTATTATTTTAGGTCTTTATTAAAATTCTTCTTCTCTACACTATAATTAATTATTTATAATGTCTAACCAAGCTTATGTTTAGCCCGTTTAGGTATTTTACTATTGTTATTTATTATTATTGTAATATTATCTCGTTACATTGTCATACATTTACTTATTCTTACTTATCTATGGACACAGATAGCCTATAATATACTAGTATTGTTTTATTTTATTAAATACAAAATAAATTTATGATATATCGGTATATTATACTGACTGTGCTCAATGTCTGCGGTGCGTACCTATAAATACGAATATACGATTAATCACATTATGTAATAATATCGTACACATAATATGATTAGTGATAGAAACCGAGCGCCGTATAGCCGACGAAATGTGCTTTTCGATGATGATTACCGTGTCCATAATAATATTAATAACAATACGACAGATTACGGTACGAAGGGACCATTTTTCGGCTGCTGTGTATTATACACATACATATAATCACAATACAATAATATGCTGCGTGGTATAATTGTGTGTATATGTATATATATATATATATAAGATATCGCGCGCATAGTATAATGTAATATTATAATAATATACGCGTCCGAATCGATTATACGCCGTCAGCAGCTCCAAAAATAAAACGAAAACGATGAGGCCCCCGCATACAATATTGCGTGTGTATGTGCGTGCGTGTGCAATAGATGTTTGCGGCGTGTCAAGATTTATTGGTCGGTGCTTGTAAAACGGTCCTACCGAACACAATATTGTCGCTCTCCACATGACGTCAGTCGGGTTTTTTAATAATGGAATCGTACGACGAGGTTAAAAAAATAAATTCGGTATAAGAACAATGAACTGACGAATTTTTTCTTATATCCCATACACACATAATGTATCTACAACAGTACACTCCGCCGGAGTGGGACCGCCTCCATAGCTATACAGATAGCTTCGCGCATCATTTTTCACGTGTCAGATCCTATCAAGGTATTAAAACGTTATTATTGTACGTGGTCAAATATTAATAACGTCGGCGCGCGCGGTGTGCATTCCAACGGACAGCATTCTCGTGCGCCGGACAGCTATACGGCGGGGCCGTGTCAATACATGACTGATAGGGTAAAAACGAAAAACAATCCGTGATCTACATATACACATGCTCACTACAATAATAACACAATTCCGTATCAAAACACTGAGCGCGCGTTTCGATATAATATATAATAATATTAGGATAATATCATGACGTTATAATATAGGACCTGTCTCTATTACATTGCGATCTCCGGTTTATGAAATGACCGCGCTACAGCAGCTGTCTATAACTAATCCGACTGTTACACTTATATATATGGTTTACAACGTTCAAACTTACTTAGTAATGTACGGACCCCGCAGCAAATCAAAAAAGGTTTTATCATTCTGAATATTAACGTACCTATACGAGTATATAATATGCCTAAATAAACACTGTCCAACGAGAGAACATGCCACGTCCCCCCGAAAAAGATCGGTTTTTTACATATACCTACGCGACACCCCGTCATAGTAGCACAATAAAAAAAAAAAAATATCACATAATATTTATTATATAAATAGTTAAATAATTCCAATTATTTAGTAGGTAGCCCTTTAAAGTATACTAGCGATGTGAGATTGGTACTAAAATATTACTAATTAAAGTATTGTGAGTAACTCGGTTACTCAATAATTACTCCATCTCAATCGCTCGCCGAAGTTGACAAGGAATACGGGTTTTCGAATCGAATAAAACAAAACCCATCTTTGTGCGCATAATAAAATTGTATAATTATACAATTACTAAAAGCATATTATTTTTTTCATTATAATTATTAGTTATTTAAACTATATTATTATTCTCGCATACCTACTTACAGTACTGAAACTTTCGGTTATTAACTATAGATACGTAAAACGGTACAATGGATATTTTTTATTGTATCCTGTGCGAACGAGTTAAACAAGTGATTTCATTAACTATGACAAATACTATTTGTTTCACTTGGATAATTATATTCCTTGCGTGAATCCATAATATACAAATTGATGGTATATGGTTAAGTATACCGTGCGGCGTGCACTTTCCCAATGGTGTTGACTGTTTGACTGGTTTTTTGGTTGGTTGATGACATATACCACACTGACTGGATTTTCGTATAGTAATCACTTAAGTGGGATGTTGATCCCTCATCGGAGCCGATTACATCGTTTTTGGTAGTTTAACCGAACCGATAGGTTCGTTGAGTCATCTTGTCATCTATTCACCGCGGTGAAAAATTCATCACATTAGATCATGCGTTACTTATACACACTATATGTATAATATATATATTTATCAAAATTCAACTATTTATCGAATTTAGTTGAACATGTATAAATATATATATGTGTGTATGTGTATGTGTGTATTTATAGATTAATATGACTTAAATATTATTATTTATGTAATATGCAAGATGAAAACTCAATAATGTTTACCTAACGTGATGTACTTTTACTGTGTATTGTATGACATATTATATGTATATATTAATGTATGCATGTTTAAGAACAATATTTATAAAGAAAAAAAAATTTAAATGATTATATATCTATATAATAAATGTTGATAACAGTATGTGATATAAAAACGATATTATATATTAAATATATAGGTAATATATATTATGCATTGTTGTTTTTTATGCGATGAACTCAAAAATGAGGAGGTTTAAAAGTTAAAAAATATGCATATTTATGTAAAAGCACGTGCTTTTTTTTATTAAATCATTCAGATCGTTATCGCACTTAAACTGTTAAGACTTTTAAAGTGCATGTTAAAATATGTACATATATATGTATAAGAAATACATAAATTCGTTTTATTAGGTATCAATTGTTTTTTTTTCTCATTAGGATCAAATAATTATATGCATCAATAAATAACATTAAAAAATATAAGATAAATAATAGATATGTGTTTGTTTTCTCCCTGAAGACACTTAATATTGTGGGAAATTAAATTTAGATGTTACTTTAAGGGATCAAAAATAAAATACTTATTACTTTTCTTAATAATTGAAAAAAAACAAAATAAGTTACGGTAAAAATACAATTTTTTACTTTAGATTGTCTTTAACAAAATTCGATTTATTTTTTATTTTGTCATAAAAAAATAACGAGTAACTGAAGATTTTTGAAATTTATGTCAAATGTTTAAACTAGAATTTTTTTTCGTGGTATAATTATCAATGTATTTTGAATTATTATAAGTATATAATATATGTAATTTTATAATTGTTGTTAAAAAAAAAAAAAATTGCTGGTTTAAAAACTTTAGTTTTAATACTAAGTATCTCAAAAGTAGTTTTAACTAAATTAATATATATATATATATATATTTGGCGTAAATTGACGATAATTTTTTACGAATATTTTGTTAAAATAACAAAGTTGTAAAAACTTACATTTTATATTTTAATTTAAATTCATGAAATATTTAATATTCAAAAATTAAGTTCAAGATTCATCATAACTAAGCGCGATCTCATCAATATTTTCACTTTGTTTAAACAATTTTCCTGGGTAAGTAATGAGAATTTTCTATGTAAAGTTATCTATGGAGGGATTCAAACTCACACATTTTTACCCATTTAAGTTATTTGACTATATCCATATACATGGTTGATTGAAATTGAAAAACGGGAGATTATTATAAATAGTATAAAAATTGAAGAAATTAAATTAATGGCTGTATCCACTCAGAGTAAATCTGATTGTAATTAAATTATTAAATTATATAATTGATATAGTTGCAAGAATTTTCTGAGTATTTTTATCTGACTGATTAAATTCACAAAATGTGAACAATAAATAATGCTTATTATAAATTTTAAAATTATTCAAAATTATATGAATAATGAATTAATTGATTGTTTATAATATGGTTATTTGGTATATTTAATGTTTTAAATATTAAAATAATATTATTATAAAAAGTCTGAGCTTTTGAATATTTCAATTGGTTAGGTTAGGTAACATTATCTATGTAATTATACATATAAATATTTCACACAGATTAATAGCTAATAATTTTTATTTGTAAAATAGTAAAATAATTTTTTTTTTTTTTAAACAAATAGAATGGATTAATAATATATTAATAAAATAATAAAATAATAATAGTCTATATTTTGAATATTTTGTGTATCTTAAATGTACGTAGAGTAATAGTGTTTCAAGCAATTTGAATTTTTTTAGTTGGCAATTTTTTGTTACATTAAAATTATAATTATTTTCGTGGTGTCTTTTTTGAATTAATTGTTGAACAAACTGCAGTGTTTGGATCATTTTTATCGATTTCATCGAAATATGACATATACTTTTGTTTAATATAATTTATTTCGTTTTTAAACAGTTCATGCTTACAATCATTTTGTGTATTATTATTATAATTTTTTTTATTACAACATATATTGTTTGGGGATTTTAAGTCATCTTTTTTATGATTTTTTTCATAATTATTCTGACAACATGGACTAATGTCATTTATAACAGAAGACATTTTTTCTCTATCTAAATCTTTACATTTTATATGTTTTTTGAAACATGGTTTATGCATTTTCTCGCATTTTTTACTATCGTCATCTTTGCTGTGGTTGGATACTTTTTCTAATACTTCAGGTACAGATTGTTTTCCACAAACACAAGTGCATGAATAGTCATATTTTGATAATTGACCCATTTGATCCTCATTTTCATTCTTGCATAAAATGTCCTCAATTTCTTTTAAAAGACAACAAACTTTATTCAATCTAACTTTTATTTCTTTTGATATTCGTTTATTGTTCATCGTCTTGAATCTAAAATCTTAAAATTAAAAATAAATAAATTAGTATTAACTATAAACAAAAAAATTATTTTTTATAAATCTAAACTAAGTGCTTATATTTAATAAAGAAATAACATAAATTACTTGTGTTGTAATTAAGTAAAATAAAAGAAAAATTTTAATCTATTTTGTTTTGTTTGTTTATGTGAGGTTAACATATATTAGGTTTTATTATAATTAGCCACTTATTATAATTTTCAGAAATAAACGTTTTGAAAGTTTTTAATCTAAAAATAGTTAGTTCAGATTTCGTATTTATAACAATTATTGTGTAGGTGTGTCTATATGGCAGAAAATCAGTTGCATGTAACAGCGATTTGTATAGGTACGAACTATAGTAATTCATAGAATTAAAATTGTATAAAATAAACTAAGTGATATCAGTTTATACCATAAATATATAATTACTTTTATTATTAGTTTTAGCTATTGGCAAATAATAAATAATAATATATGCGTTTAATGTTTATACATTATATTAAATTATACGAATGCAATACGAGTTGACATTCATCAAGTTGCTTATATTAAACATGACCACTCAAAAGTCATAAGAAAACGCATATTATATTTTTATATTACTACATTGAAGTACTAAATTATAATAATAACATTATTATGTCTGTATTATATTATTATTAAGAACATAAATTATAAATTTCTTATAACTGATTGTATATAATCTTATATAGCTATTAAATAATATGTTTCAGTATACTTGTATACATTTTTATTTGATTATTACAATATAACAATTATTTAGTATAGGTAACTTCGGCTCTACGACATAATTTAGGTAATTTTCATTACCATGTGTACACAGGATCGGTTAGCTAGGTTAGGTAAACACAGTACCTCATGTCCGTGGGAACTGTCATCGAAAAGACAAAATTAACACGTTTTCGCCGTTCATCTTTAAATAATAATACATTTTACGACGTTTCGGGCAAATATTGATTCCCACTTTGCTGACATTGAACAAACGACAGATAAGTCGGTCTTCAACACCAAAGAAACGTTTCCGCTGTATTTATTATATAGATATTCGATACGTTCTTTTTTGTGTTATAATAGGTTAAGCCTTAAAATAACCATATAGACATATCTTAATAAACAACAAATAAAACAATGTAATTACATTTAAAATTGAAATTATGCAATTTGTATATTATTAATATCAATAATATCGTTTAACGATAATCGTAATAATTATTATTTTCTTTTGAAATTTTACAGTATTTCTGATTTTCATCCATTAATTTGCATTATATAAAAAATATGTTAAATTAAGTGTACACGACTTAAGTAATTCAAACTTTAACTATGTAAATTACACCGTTTATTTTTTGATTCTTTAGAATTAAGTACCTATTTATATCGCTATATGTATAACATTTAAAATATTGTTGTACATTTACCTATAGATACCATAATGACTACAGTATATTATAATATGTAGTAGTTGGGCATGGGTAGTTGTGGTTGTGAATTTGTGATGTAATAATAATAAATATATATCAATACAAATAATACGAGTAAGTACCTATAACTGTTGTAATATAGAATTATAATAATAATAATAAATAAATTATATACGTATAGTAACAAATGCCTATTAATATTATAATTAGTAATAACTAATAACAAATGATAAGTTCGTTTACGTTCAACTAGTATTAAGGTAGTTTATGTGTGTTTAAACTGAATTATTATAATGGACTACGACGTGAACTCGTTGATTTTATAAATAAAACCTAGTGAATCTTAGAGATTTTCTGACATTTCGTATATATTTTTTTTTTTATTTAGCTTGTAAGTGATTACATTTATATTCGCTCTTTATGGACCAGTTATTGACTCGTTTTAAATACTTTGTTATGAAATAATTTAACTTGTTTGGTGCGCGAAGAGGCTCATTGTGGGATTTTAAACGGGAACATAATATTATAACAGTGTAATATCCTTAAAAATTACAAAGATTATATAATAATAATATGTAAATACCTATAACATAGTTGGTAGTTCTATGCAATCCCTCTGCGCTCCTGTTTGGAGCTTTTACCGTTGCCCGATTATATACGTCGTCACATCGACGAGCGATTAATGTATAGATGGTAATGATAATACCTACGAAATTATTATAGGTACAATGCAATAATATACATATATACAAAAGTGACGACGTGTCTTATTTACTTGTCGTCATGCCTGTGCGCGACTTAGGCAGCGGCACATAGGGGGTCTCATAATAATATTATAATGTATACGTGACAAATGGCTGCCAAACTGGTCTCGCTCGTCGGGCGCGCGCGCGTATTATTATTATACGTGTTATATCCACTGGAGACTGCATTCCGACGAAGCCCGCGAAACGATATGTCCCGTATATGTTGTGTGTGAGTGTCTCTTTATGTGCGTGCGAAATATATCATGCAATGTGTGTATGTGTGTGACGTGTGCGGTGCTAGTGCAAAAAATTATCATTATCATTATTATTATGCATTATTATTACATTATCGGGTAGTGGTTTTGGCGAATATTATAATATTATTCAAATAACCATATACTGCGGCGTACTACGATCTCAAATGTTTAATGCGTGTACGTCATGTGCATACTACTGCCGTATTACCTGTCATCGTTATAATATAATGTAGTGCCCGCAAACGTCTATAATTTTCGTTTATTATTATTATCGTTATTAGTATTATTTCTAGCCCGATCCACGCCCTACCTAGCGTTATACACGTAGATACCTATCGTCGGGCACTCTGTCCGCATTGCTATAAAGCATGGACTATACGACTAATAGTGTATAGTCTATAATATTATTGTGATAGATGTGTGTGGGCAAAATCGTCGCGGCCGCAACGCAAGTCATACCGCAGGACCCACACGCCCGGCTCTTGCGCGACGAGATCCGCGTCGTTCGACATTTTTCAAACCACTTATTTTCGCCTGTTACGAACAAACAGCCGCAGACGCGATTATTCATGCGCGCGCCGGCGTTGTCTAAATATTTGGATCGCGTGATCCGAGAGCAAAGCCGGTGGTGTACACACAATATACCGCGCGTGTGTGCGTATAAAATAAAAATAATAATAAATAAATGTCGCGATCACGATATGGGCACTGCGCACACGCTATATATACCTACAGTCTTGCTGCTGCCGCCGCCGCGATTTCATTTTTTATTTATTTTTTATTGGCCACCGTCACGCGCTCGTATTATAACGTATAATATATGAGTTCTTATGATATATTTGTATTAATACCTACTTACACCGTAGTTCTACACGTGTACATACATACGCGATAATAATAATAATATATGTTTCACGCACAAGGCTACCGGAAAGGGCCATGCGGGACGTCGCCACTTCTGATGGGTTTATCGTCCTACAACAGCGACGGCGGCGACGACGACGACGACCACACGGCGAACAGTGTAGGTCTTTCAGAATAATGTGTATAATAATAATATAATATAGGTAGGTCGCACCGACACGAGAAACCCGCTGCAAATCGCACTACTGAATAGGACTGCGTCACTAGAGGTTTTCTGTTCGAGAGCCAAATATGAATTTACCGTTTATGCATTATAATAATCCAGTGTTCGCCGTTTTCGTTTAGATCGCGTTCCATGATGGATGGTCGAGCGTATATCGTAAAATATGTTCGCTGCGAATGTAACCGCGAAACGCGGTAGGTACCTACTTATGCATATTGGTTTTTTTATTTTTTGTTAAAAATATTTTTTTGTTCGTATACCGCTTCAGCGTTGTGTGCACGACTAGTATTATATTGAGAGAAAAAAGCACACTGTGCGACCTACGCACTTTAATATACTTCTATGTACGCCTGCTATATTATATAGTTTATAATACTAGCTGTTTATTCATAATATTATATCTAATACAAATCTTCGACATTTCGTTTTCAACTATTTTGCATTATTGGCAGCTGTTTTCTAAAACTCGAGATTGTAAATGATCAAATATGCATGTATGATAATTTTATGCCAGCAAAATTACTTTGGCATTAGTTTGCGTAAGCCGAATAAATCTAGTGTAGTGCAGAGTGCAAACATATTATGTACATATACTTTATCTGTAATATTTCGACGTTCCGGCTGTATAATATGTATATTAATGTATTATAATATAATATGATTTAACTGTGCTATTTATTTTCTTGAAATTGACAATAATATATGTTTTCGTTATTATTTTTAGCCCTTTAAAATGTTTTTATCAATTCTATATCGGTGTATCCATATTGGTTACTGGTACTTAAGTACGCATTCGCTGATTTAATATTATAAATTATATTTTTGCATTTATCAAGCTGTATCGTTATTATATATGAACTGTTTTAAATTATTGCTTCCAAATAATATATATTTGCTCCGTGATTTATTACAAAATAATAAACCAGTTTAACACCTATCTATAATATTCTGAACGTGATCAGTGACGTTATAAATGCTACAATTCAAAGACACTTCGGTAATCGAAACATTAATAACAATTAAACGGTTACTTTACGAACCAATCATTGTAGATTTGTAGCGAAACGCATCAGCGATGCTGGGTCTTTGTACCTGCAGCAGGATGAACGTATATGTGTATATTATGTATATACCTATTATTATTAAGTGTACGTAGTAGCGATTTCGATTTTACATTGTAAACACGCGAATTATTGGGGGGAAATAAAGTGAACGTTTCAAACGCCATCGGCGGCGTTTAGGAGGTACACATAGACCAGACAGTGAAAGAATTCAAAAAACATTTAATCATCGAACTGCCAGCCAATACGGCAGTTTTGCCACCCGCCGACAAAGAATGGGCCAAAAAACACTTCTTCATCATCACCGTCGTCGTCATCGGGGAAACATTAGACGGTTTATTAGTTCTGTTAAACACCGGTCCCTCGCGGCATAACCACAACCATCGTAT